ATTATGCTTAATAGCTGTTAAAGAACATTGTGGGAGCTGCCAGGCTAACACCAAATGTGACTTTCAAAAGCATTTGTTAGAAAGGCTGATCCTCCAAACAAATAGGCTGTAAAATGAACTTTGGGGAGCCATTGCAATGGAGAGAGCGAATCTTGAAACTGAATCTGGTACATCTTTAACCATAGACTTTCTATTTATAGCCTAGCAAAGATAGCAAAAGACATATGCAAAATTTAGAAGAATTGCAAAGCAAAAAGAAATTACGGTATTTTTTAGATGACAAGCAGGCTTAACATAAGGAGCAACATGCGAACAGTTGTGATGGCTGGCTCAGTGCAAGAGGAACATTTCACCCCTGGTTGCCCTGCTGGCAACCTTTTTAACAGGGTGGGAAGGTCAGACCCTCCAAGTATTCCTATTTTCCAGGGTCCTGGATTTACAGAAGCTGCCTCAGTTTCTGATTTGACCCCAGAATGCCCCGCTTTTCCTTAGGACGTCCCTATTTTTATCGGTGAAACATTGGAGAGCACGCCTTTCCTTTCATCAGAGAAATGTTAGAGGGTATGGAAGGGGTGACCTCTCCAGGCTACGCCCCCCGCCCCCTGATAGCCACAGGTTCCCCACCCGGGATCTAAATGCTATTAAGGAAATGTGGGGTGTAGTTTGAAAAAGAGGCCTTTTCTTTTTTATGTCTTGTTTTACGGTTTCTGATTTTACGCAGCATTGCTACTAAGCAGAACTAAGAGCAGACCAGATCCGCATGCCGCCCCCCCCCCGGCAGAAACCTGACCGCAAGTGCCAAATCTCCCATCCGCTGCAAATTTGGGATAGTGCCTCAGAGGCCATTATAGGAACAGAAACCAAAATCCAAGTCAAAGGAAAGGAAAAACCGACCAAAACAAAAACGAGAAGGCAAACAGCCAGTCTAGAAAGTGGCCCATTCCGCTGACAGCTGGGGAGCCAGAGCGTTCGTTTGCCTCTTCATAACCCCCTTTGTGATGATAAATGTGTTTTCACGGGACAGAATTGTCATAAATATCTGCAAAATTAAAAAGCAGAGCCTTGTTCACAGATTGCATAAGAAGCTTTCCAGGTTCCCTCAGAGACTCAGCTTGCAACGTGCCAGGAAAAAGGGGGAAAAGGAAAGGAAAGCAAACTGAACATTAACGAGAGTGATTGTGTTTTTGCTTTAATCAAAATAGGCCTGCGCCAACCAGCAATGTAGACCCTTCCTATGCTTTGGGCTGAGGGTTAGCAAATAAAAAGAAAAGGGGGGGGGAATGCAACTAAAATCTGACTCTTTGGCACCCCCTGCAGTTTAGGATGAATCAGGCCCCCTTGCCAGTGGGAGGCTGCGGCCTAGCTTGAGTACTTTTGTTATCTGAATGAGGAAAAAGAGCAAAAACCTCAGAGAAATCTCACTACCCAGGCGCTCCATAAACATCTCCAGCAGAGGGGCCAAGAACACAAGAGCAGCCCCCCCCCCGCTTCATTATACGCAAATCATTGCCGCTGGCAATACTGACGAACACTGAGAAGGTCAAATTGGGTCAGTCACAAGGGGCAAGAGAAGCAGAATCAGTCGAAGAAATGCACTTCAGCCCTTTTGTTGGGAGAGTTTTTGTGTGCCATTGCTTCCTAAAAGCTGTTGGCATCATTCTTTTGGAGCCTTTAAGAGGATCGTATATGGTTTTATACATATCGCTAATGCTAGCCCAGACCCTCCGAGTGTCCCAATTTTCCAGGGATCTCCCTGATTTAGAGAAGCCATCCCAGTTTCTGATTTGATCCTGGAATGTCCCACTTTTCCTTAGAATGTCCCTATTTTCATTGGAGAAATGTTGCAGGTTATGGAGTTATCAGACCTCTGAGCCATCTGAAGGCAATCCTGTATAGGAAAGGTTTTTTAAACAAAATGTTTTAATGTTTTATTATGTTTTTTTATATGTTGGAAGTTGCCCAGAGTGGCTGGGGCAACCCAGAAATATAATGCTAATTTTACTATTTATGCTTCACACGTCTTACTGGCTCCCCACCCCCCACTCCCAGCCACTTTGGGCAACTTCCAACATATAAATAATAATAATCATCATCATCATCATCATCAAACATTAAAAAGTCCCTATACAGGATTGCCTTCAGATGGCTTGGGAGCTGGATAGCTTCACACCCTTCAACATTTCTCCAGTGAAAAAAGGAAAAGTGGGACATCCCAGGATCAAATCAGAAACCAGGACAGCTTCTCTAAATCAGGGATATCTCTGGAAAATAGGGACACTTGGAGGGTCTGCAACAGGCCATTTGCTACGTCACTCCATAGTGAATCTCTCCCAACAGAGGGACAGTAAGTAGGGCCTCCTCTGCAGATCAGAAGGCACAGGCAGGCTGGTACAGGGAGAGGCACTACTCCAGGTATTTAGAGCAAAAGTCATGTAGGGCTTTATGTCCAGGACCAGAAGTCAGATTTATTTACTTAGTTATAAAAATATTTATATACTGCAGTATTATTAAAACAATTATAGCTGTTTACAACAATATAAAAACATTAAAACCCCAAAATAACATCATGTAAAATGAAAAAACAAGTTAAAAGCAAAAAGAAATTAAAATCCATTTCGGGTGATGGAATGGAGCTCTCTGGAGCACAGAGCCAGTCCCAGAAGTGTTGCTACCATACAAACAAAGGTGTGGTGTGGGGGGCAGTGTCCCACATCTTGAGGATGCAGCAATGCTGGCCTCAGTGTATTCCAGTGTGGAAGAGGCCAGAAGCTCCCCTGCTGTACTGCAGAAGACGACTCCTGGAGAGGGCTGGGTCCCTTCAATTAAAGCAGCACCTTACAATGTGGATGGGGGCCAACCATTAGGACAGAGCCGATGCTCTACAGGGCCCAGTATTGACTTGTTTCTTGCTGAAGCAACATCACAGCCCTGAATTTCTAGAGCACAGCCTGATGGCTGCAAATGGTGTGGTGGTGGCACTCACCTGGCCTCCTGAGTTGCTGCTGCTTACTGAGAACAACAAAGGGGTGAGGTAGCGGGAAGGTTGGTGCGGTGCAAGCTTACCAGCAGGAGTGCCAAATGAGCTTTGCAGGTGTGTTTGCACTGCACCAACCCCCCTGTTGCCTCGCTTCTCCCTGCTCTTTCCTTCCCTGTAAGCATCAGCGACTCAACTGTTAGGTGAGCACCACTGCCCCACCATACCTCCTGTTACTGCTGCTGGATCTTGGCTTCAAGTTTGATCCTTTTCCTGTTTTGTCTTGCCTCTGTATCCAGTATCAATCTCACCTTGCACCCAGTCTGAGACCTGCGTTGCCACAGAGCAGGCCATTTTGTAAGCCAGACACAAACATGGAGGCAACCGCTGCAGAACTTTCAGAACTGGGGTGACATTAATTAATTGACGATTTTGATCATTTAGCCCACACTTCAGCCGCTCTTGGTTCCAGGGCAGATTACAGTAATAGTATTCATATAGAAGTTATTGACATGGCCAATATATATTTAATAAGAATAATATACAGTATCAAAATAACAACACTACGGCAACCATGTTTACAGTTGGCCCTCTCGGCTCAACCCTCTCTCAAAGGCTGGGTGAGAAAAGGGTATACAGTGGTGCCTCGCAAGACGAAATTAATTCGTTCCGCAAGTTTTTTCTTCTTGCGAGTTTTTCGTCTTGCGAAGCACGGTTTCCCATAGGAATGCATTGAAAATCAATTAATGCGTTCCTATGGAAACCGACTTCAGACCAGGTCCGGGGACAGTCTGTCCCCCGACCTCTTCTGAAGGCTGGGGGGGGGACAAGGGCTTTTCTTCCCACCCCCAGCATTTTAAAAAACCCCGGACAGCGGAGGGCTTCTCCGCTGTCCGGGGCGATCTTAAAATGCTGGCGGGCGGCATTTTAAGATTGCCCCGGGACAGCGGAGGACTTCTCCGCTGTCCGGGGCGATTTAAAAGCCCCTGGCGATTTAAAAGCCCCTGGGAAGGCAGGCAGGGGGGGACAAAGACTTTTGCCCCCCGCCAGCCTTCAGAAGGTCTTTGCTCCCCCCCCCGCCTGCCTTCAAAAGCCCTCCGGGACAGCGGAGCAACGCGTTTCTCCGCTCTCCCGGGAAGGCAGGCAGGGGGGAGCAAAGCCTTTTGCCCCCCGCCCGCCTTCAGAAGAGGTCCAGGACCTCTTCTGAAGGCGGGCGGGGGGCGAAAGTCTTTGCTCCCCCCGCCTGCCTTCAAAAGCCCTCCGGGACAGCGGAGAAACGCGCCGCCCGGGGCGATTTCAAACCCGCTGTCCCGGGGTTTTTAAAAAACCTCTCTGCCCCCCCGCCAGGCTTCGGAAGGCTGCTCCGAAGCCTGACGGTGGGAGGAGGTCTCCGCCCCCCCACCAGGCTTCGGAGCAGCCTTCCGAAGCCTGGCGCGGGGAGAAGGTCTCTCTGCCCCCCCGCCAGGCTTCGGAGCAGCCTTCCGAAGCCGGGCGGCGGGAGGAGGTGTTCCCCCCCGCCGCCCGGCTTCGGAGCATCCTTCCGAAGCCGGGCGGCGGGAGGAGGTGTTCCCCCCCGCCGCCCGGCTTCGGAGCATCCTTCCGAAGCCGGGCGGCGGGAGGAGGTGTTCCCCTCCCGCCGCCCGGCTTCGGAGCATCCTTCCGAAGCCGAGCGGCGGGAGGAGGTGTTCCCCCCCCGCCGCCCGGCTTCGGAGCAGCCTTCCGAAGCCGGGCGGCGGGAGGCGGTGTCCCCGCCCCACCGCCCGGCTTCGGAGCAGCCTTCCGAAGCCTGGCGCGGGGAGAAGGTCTCTCCGCCCCCCCACCAGGCTTCGGAGCATCCTTCTGAAGCCGGGCGGCGGGAGGAGGTGTCCCCGCCCCGCCGCCAGGCTTCGGAGGAGGTCCAAGGACAGTGGGGAAGACGCGCTGCGCTTCCCCGCTGTCCCGGAGATTTCCCTATGGGCTTTCGTCTTGCGAAGGAAGCCCATAGGGAAATTCGTTTTGCGAAGCGCCTCCAAAACGGAAAACCCTTTCGTCTAGCGGGTTTTCCGTCTTGCGAGGCGTTCGTCTTGCGGGGCACCACTGTATTTAACCAGCAACCAAAGTTGAATAATGCCAGTGTTGTCCCTATAGCGAAGGGAAGTGAGTTCCATAAACAGGGCCTTCTCTGTGGTGGCCTCCTATCTCATGTCACTGCATTGTGGGTATCCCCTAACAACGGGGCAACAAGAAGGGCTTCTGCTGCTGATCTCATTACATGAGCAAGCTGGTGCCAAACGATTTAACACTCTGACAGCGGCATTCTGCAGCAATTGCAGCTTCTAAATATTCTTCATAAAATATTTACACATTACAATAGTCCAATCAAGGGACGAACTGAGCATGGATCCCTGTAGTGGTTTTTCTGTTGGCAGACCTATCTCAAAGACTTGCTATTACCAAGGCAAATCAGGACAACTTTGCATGTTGCAAGACTATCTTTTTTCCACAGGGTAGAAAAACACCTTTTTTGATCAATTGGCCTAAAGAGTATTCTGGTTGAAATAGGAGCCCAGAAATTACACGGTTGGCCTTCCTGTAGAGAGACAATCTGGTCACCGAATCATTCCTGCAAAGACATATGACCTGCTGCTGCCCTCACAACACTCATACTGCCATGGTTTGTCTCCAGAGCCTTTTTGAAATGCAACCCAGAGAGCTTTCAAAGACCAAGAGCGCATTGTTGCGCTTACAGGGTGGAGTGGGGGGCATAGGGAGTGGTGGGGCAGCATTGCTAGGAAACAGAGGACCCCAGCATTTGGGCAACGTTAAGCAGCAGGCAGAAGTTTCTTGATGAAGTCAACAATATGGGAAGCCGGATGCACTGCGTCATATTCTGCAAAGAGGTGGCAGATATTCTCAGAGTCTGCTGGGCTTTTGGCAATGACACCGAAGATCCTGTGGCGAAAAACAGAGAGGAAACAGATCCCTATGTTATAGGTTTACGCTCATGATGGATGAAGAAATGCTCAAGCATGTAGACTTGAACTTTGGACACACCATGATTCCTTAAACCGCAGAGAAACACACCACCTCTGGCTGGGCATATTAAAGCACATTTCCTCCCCTTCCCTAATAACCTTGGGAACTGTATTTTACCCCAAGAAACTATAACTCCCAACACCCACAACAAACTGCAGTTCCCAATATTCTTTTTTGTGTGGGTAGGGAAGGAAATGTACTTTAAATGCGTCGCATATGCACAGCCAGAGGTGGTGCATTACTCTGTGGTTTAAGGAATTTTCCATGTCCTCATTTTGCAGAATATATTCTGCTTCTGGTAGTCACGGGGAAGGGCAAAGAGTCACAAAAGGCATTCCCATCCCCCTTTTCTCTTCCATTCCTTTGTTCAAATGGCATCTCACTTGGAACGCAAGGAACTGGGAGGAGGCAACGCCCAGGGTGACTCACCTACACTGACTGCCCCATTTCTCTCCCCACACCCACCTCCACTCACCCCTTTAATCACTTTTGTTATATAATTTGTTTTAGAAAAGTAAGGCTCAGAAGATTAAGGTTCAAATCCAAAATTAATGAAGGGGTATAGAAAGCAAAGGGACACGAGCTGCAATCTTAAGCGCATGTCCGCAGGTGAGACCCATTCAGTTCAATTCAATTCAACGGGACTTGCGTTCAGGGAAACAGGGACTCAGTATTGTAAATGAATTGGTTCAAGTATCAGGAATGGGTGTGTGTTTGTGACACACCAGCTCCCCCCCCCTTTAAAAAACAACAACCCTGGATTTTCCCAGAAAGGAAATCCAGATTAAATGGGGGGGGGCAGGGATTTACATGTTGGCTTGTTGATGCCAATGGCTGTGAAAAAACATGCAGAGAAGCCCCCACTCCCATAATAAACCCCCATTTGGAAGCAACGCACCCTTAGCATCTGGGTGCTAGCTTACCATGAGGGTACCTATTCAACCTCAATGCCTTTTAGTTGAATTTCTGTTGCTGCCTTTTCCTCAACCCTTAGCCTGCAGTCCTAGACACACATTTAACTGGGAGCAAGTCCCACTGAATTCAGCAGGACTTCCTTCTGAGCAGGAATGCGTGATTGTGCTACTACTAATATGCTTTGTGAGAAAACAATTGCCCTAAACCAGGCATAGGCAAACTCGGCCTTCCAGATGTTTTGGGACCACAACTCCCACCATCCCTAGCTAACAGGACCAGTGGTCAGGGATGATGGGAGTTGTAGTCCCAAAACATCTGGAGGGCCGAGATTGCTTATGCCTGCCCTAACCAATCTCTAATTCCTCATATCATCATCTAGCCTCTGTGTATTCCATGAAGCTGCTCATCCCATCCATATAGCTTACCTGGAAATTTTGGAAAATTTCTGCCACCTTTACAAAAGAGAGAAGGGGAGAGGATTAGACTTCATATTCAACAAATCATTTCATTAGCTGGCTTGTTTAATGTAACAGTCTGACTCAATATAAGGCAGCAGATCTTGATGCAGATCTTCGTCCCTGCCCCCCTTCCTGATACAGTGGTACTGCGGGTTACAGACGCTTCAGGTTACAGACTCCACTAACCCAGAAATACTACCTTGGGTTAAGAACTTTGCTTCAGGATGAGAACAGAAATTGCGCGGCGGCAGCGCGAGGCCCCATTAGCTAAAGTGGTACCTCAGGTTAAGAACAGTTTCAGGTTAAGAACGGACCTCCAGAACAAATTAAGTTCTTAACCCGAGGTACCATGGTACAGATTTTCCTGCAGCTCTTATTCCCTGGCAGGGAGGGGGACACTACTTGGGGGTCTGCGCCAAAATGTATTGGGCCAGCCCTGATCCACCATACTATAACAATTGAACTTTGCAAGAAGGTGCTTAAAACACAACATTTGCGCTTCCTGTTTTTGATTCAGTCATTCTTTTTTATGAAGGATCCAGGTTAGGTTTCTGCCAAACCACTGAAACCCAGTGTTTTCCGGATGAAAGCAAAGAATATGGTACGCAGATTGCTAGGAAATAGTCTGGAACAGGGGTGGACAGAAAGTGCATTGGGATCTACTACTAGTAGATCTCCTGGTGATTGGCAGCAGATAGGCAAGGGTGTCTGGCTCCCAATGGTTTAGCAACAGCAAGAACAGCAGCATTAAGATACATTCAACAATGTGATTATAACATTTGAATGATGTAAATTGGAGAACTGACTAAAACGGCAACAGTAAAATATGCAGGAATGGTAGGCAAGTAAAATGAACCATGGAAGGAGAAGGAGGGAAGTCATTCGATATATGGTATTATGTAAAATGTTTATTTTGATATGTATAATTAAAAAAATTAATAAAAACTATTTTTTTAAAAAAAGCAACAGCAACAACAAATTAACTTTTCTCACTTAGTGAAATGAAAAAAGCTAACCAGGGTGGAATCTAGACTCATATGAAAAAACCGCTGTGAAAATGCTTTTAAAAAAAAGTTTTTAAAATATATATTGAATTTGCCATTAGCGCACCAACGCCATCTAGTGTCACATTTGTATAGTGCACTTAAAACTTTATATTTGCAGCTGTATAGCAGAGTCCCAGGAGTGCAGTTTGCTGTGGAAAGGCTTGAGCCCAGTTCTGTTCTGGTACTGAGAAACAATTCCTTAGGCTAATAAGGCACCCTGTTCTTCAGTTCTAACTCTATGTCTTTTGCAGCTGGCTCTGGCTGGTAGATCTTGCGAAACAAACAGGCAGACTAGGTCTGACAAGCTTGAAGTCTGCCCACCCTTTTGGGAGTAGCCATAGAGAGCCATTATTATTTCTGAAGGCAGCCCTGTTTAGGGAAGTTTTTGAATGACTGATGTTTCAATGTATTTTTGATCTCCTGTTGGAAGCCGCCCAGAGTGGCTGGGGAAACCCAGCCAGATGGGCGGGGTATAAGTAATAAATTGTTATTGCTATTGCTATTGCTATTGCTATTGCTATTGCTATTGCTATTGCTATTGCTATTCAGCCTCCTATGGCCAACCACATGGAGAGAAAGCACTGGCCCTAAACTAAAAGATGCTTGGGAAATAAACTGTGTGGGTGAGGTGGGGAGAAATCAAAATTGCTGCACGTGGCCTCTTGTTAATGCTGGTAGCAATACTGGAGGAGTAGCCTGGTCACTTACTTTCGGTTTTCGGGGTCCATGTCACAAAAGCTGATGGCAGTCAGTGGATAGTGCCGCCGGAAGAAAACCCTGTAGAAAGGAGGCAAAACTCAAGCATGTTTCTCAAACTTTTTTTTAAAAAAGGAAAACACCCAAAATAAAATCAATGAGTTACTTAAGAAGTCAGTTAAAAATGGCTATCCCTTCTTGTATGTGCACTATTCAGCGCTGTTTCCTTTCTGCTGCACTGATAAAAACCCCTACATTATTTGTCTTGCCCTTAGTGGTGAAATTACGTAACTTACGTAATTGATGCGAATTATATTATGGTTACGTTACTCCACCCCATTCGTCTCAATGCAAAGGAAACAGAATGCGGGGGTGGGGGGGTGAGGATGTAATCAATCATGTAACGTTTGTGGACAGAAAGCCACATCTGTCATGGATGCTTTAGTTGAGATTCCTAGAATCTCAGGGTCCCCTCCACCTCTACAATTCCATGATTCTGTGGACAACAACAACAGTGGCGAATATTGATCATATTCACTGGTTTGATTCCCATTTCACACATGGGAAGGACCGGCCATTTCCGCTCCTGTCAGAATTCTCTGATATCTCCCTTGGGCGGAAATCCTTGGGTGTTCCCCGGTTCCTGCGCATGTTCCCATTTGCCAATAGACATTGGGAGCACATTTGCTTTTGTTTCCGACATTGCAAAAGGTCTGCCCTCTTTCCCACCCCCAACAATTTAACCGAGCAGGCAACTCTGTAATAAAAGGTACTCCTTCTCCCTCCGCCACCTGCTGTCCTATTCGGCTTCCTTACTTCCGCTGGATGTCTGTCAAGGTGATCCCTTGGTCAGTCACTTTGAAGTGGACGATGGTGGGCGTAGGCGGGACCTCCAGTTCGAAAGTGGCAGACACAGCTTTCCGAACTGCTGCTTTGCCAGTGAGAGTCTCCATGGTCAGGGAGTGCAGGTACAGGAGATTGCAGACTGTTAAGGCCAGAAGGCCAAGAGAGAGAGAGAGAGAGAGAGAGAAAGAGAGAGAGAGAGAGAGAGAAGAAAGGACGATTAATGACCTACTGTGGCTGCTGACCTCTGGGAGTGGTGTTAATAAATGTAAAAATGAAATTAAACTCTCTCCCCCTACCCAAAGCCCTCCAAATGGCTGCGATGGGAAAGGTGTTCAGGTTGCTAGTGTTTCTCACTTTTTTTTAAAAAAAAAGGCCAGATGTGCATTCCTGGAGTTGGACAGCCTGTGCGCGCACAGACACACAGAGTAAGGGGTTAAGGCATGCTGGGGAGAAGAGCTACCATCTGTCCTCTAGCCAGGGCATCAACAAACCCGGGGTTGATGTATCAACACTGGAGGAGAATGGGGGGTGCAGTGGGTGCAGTCTGCCCTGGGTGTCATCCCTGAGGGGGGGTGACATCGCCGCCCCCCCCGGAATGCTCACCCTGTGCCCGCGGGCGGCTAGCCCTGCCCCCAGGTACACAGCATGCGCACCGCTTCTGGTGCCAGAGCAGCTAGCTCCGCCTCTGAGTATCAATTACTCAATTTGGGGAGCACTGCAAAACCTTCCTTTTCAGGCAGGGCTTTGAAAAGTAAGGCACAGACGATGCAGATCACTGGGCTGCTGCTATCACGGCAATTGTGTTCCGTTGTATTTTCATTATTGCTCTTAACTAGATTGTTTCCATTACTTCGTATTTTATTAAAAAAAATAAAAAAATTAATGTTGCAAGCTCCCTTGAATCCTAGTTTGGGAGAAAGGTGGGATATACTGTACATTAAATATTATTATTATTATTATTATTATTATTATTATTATTATTATTATTATTATTATTTTGCAGGCTACTAGCTTGGCTAAGTTTACTTATGAGGCTGGTCTGAGTGATGGCAAAATGGGATATCTTCGCAGCAGCTGCATGTAGACCGAAGAACAGGTGTGAATTTACAACACTCAGCTCCGATACTCCAAACAACCCCTACAAACTGAACAGATAGGTGTGCATGCTCCCATTTCACTCACCTGCAGCTTTCATTGAAACTGGTAGAGTGGCTTCTGAACCCACAGCAGGATTTTCTCTTCCTCCAAAGAAATCTGAAGTGAGGTTGGAGGTGGGGAAATCAAAGTAGGAAAAAACTAATCAGACAGAGGGCAAAAATGTACCAATTACAACCCGCATTGTTCTAATTTTCAGTTCTGATGCATAGGGGAACCATCACATCAGTCTCTAAAGATGCATACCAAAATCAAAACTAAAGCCGAATCATAAAAACAGGAGTTGCTTCATTCTTCTTCTCCTGCAGGATGAAGCAACCTCTCCCTCTTCACAGTGCCACTAACAGTCCCGTTTACTAGTGATTCAAATGCCGATTCAGTTGTTACCTAGCTATCTCTCCCCCCCCCCCGCCCCTGGTGCTTTAGGTGGGCTGTTTGCCTTTTTATTTTATGAAAGTGGTACTTGTATTTGTGAGAACTAGAAGATTTTATCATATCACACCAATTTTGCATCAGTTGAATTGGCTTGAATTTCCGGCCTCAGCTTAAAAGACTGTTACAAACCGTTATGTCCCTGAACAATCAGGTTGCTTGATGGACAGCCTATATGAACCTGCCTGAGCCCTAAAATTGGCCTCAGAGGCCCTGCTAAGATTAATCAGGCTGGTGGGCACTGAAGACAAGGCCTTTTCAAGTGATGGCCCCACATATGTGAAATTCCCTTCTCCAAGAACCTGTGGCCGTCCAGCCCCAGCCGGCACATAAATCAGGAGAGCCTTAGATTCCCTATCCCTCTCCTGTGTCTAGCATGAATACTAGACAGAGCACACCATTCCTTTCAGCGCTTCAGAAATTATTTGCTTCAGTTCCTACCTTGGCTGGGGATAAGCAGTCTGCAGGGCAATGCTAAAGGCATGATGGTGTGTTGATATACAAATGCCGAGAGACTTCCTGTAACAAAGAGATAGAGGAAGAGGTTTGTGCACGGTGTTCTTAAACCTCTGAACCCAAAATCTCTGCCAAAATTCTCATTTCCCCCCTGCATTCTGCCACTGATTAACAGCTGCACTGAATGTGTATCTGAAGAAGTGTGCATGCACACGAAAACTCATACCAATAACAAACTTAGTTGGTCTCTAAGGTGCTACTGGAAGGAATTTTTTTATTTTGTTTCAGCTGTACTGAATGTTTGTTAACAAACTAGGGAAATTGTTATAGGGGAACCAACAAAGAACTAACAGAAAACAGTTTTCAGAGATAACATGTCTTTTTCAGGACATTGCGAGACAAACCAGAGTTTATCATGTCACATATCCATCCTTGCTCCTCCTAGGGTTGTCCAGAAACAGGTGAATATGAGATCTTGCTGCCATCCTTGAAAACCAGCCAGCTCATTACTTTGGGGATCCATCCCAAATGTTTAGCAAAAGCCAGAGTGGGAACAAGCAGAATGGCTTGTTTAGTAAGAGTGTTAACATTGGACTGGATGGAACTTTGGTTTGATCCAGTTGGGTTCTTCTTAACAGCAAAATGCAGTAACTTCAGAAACACTCATGTTACACACAGCTTCCTAACAACAAATCCTGAACCAGCTGTAATGACATTTAACAAACAGATGCATGAGGAAGGCTGTCTTACCAAAATAGGGTTCTTCTTCAGCGCCCTTAAGGTGTACTCCTCGGGCAGAAGACTCAATGAGGAAGTGCCTGATGGGATCACTGCCATCTTCCCCTTTAAAGCAAAAACAAATAGTGCTGAAACGAATTTGAGATGCAACTCTTGCACCAGAGACTGCAAAAATGCAAAAACTGAACTGGCTTCTAAAAATTGGCTCGTGTCTTTGCATCCTCTTCTGCTTTCGCTTTCCACCCCCTTCCCCTTACTCATTTTAGTGCTATTTCACATTTTTTAAAAATATATTTACAAATTTTAAATCACAAGTAAAGGTAAAGGTACCCCTGCCCATACGGGCCAGTCATGTCCGACTCTAGGGTTGCGTGCTCATCTCGCTCAAGAGGCCGTGAGCCAGCGCCGTCCGAAGACACTTCCGGGTCACATGGCCAGCGTGACGAAGCTGCAGCTGGCGAGCCAGCACCAGCACAGCACACGGAAACGCCGTTTACCTTCCCGCTATAAAGCGGTACCTATTTATCTACTTGCACTTAAAGGTGCTTTCGAACTGCTAGGTGGGCAGGAGCTGGGACCGAAAGACGGGACCTCACCCCGCCGCAGGGATTCGAACCGCCGACCATGTGATCAGCAAGTCCTAGGCACTGAGGTTTTACCCACAGCGCCACCCGCGTCCCTAAATCACAAGTAGTGATTTGTAAATAAACCCATTAGTTTCTAAACACTGTTTTGTGTATTCTTTGAACAGAAAGGTGGTATCATTTTCTTAAAAAAATTAAAACAAACATAGCAAAGCATATTCTGTTCCTAAATTCTTGGCCTTTTGTTCTTTTTTTAATCACCGATGCTATGTCTGTGGTACAACATTAAAACAGCTGGAGAGGGAGAATTTACTATTTGGCTCTCCCACCTCCCAGTTGTTTTACAGACATGGATTTCATTTTATTTTAAACCCAACAATTTATTGTCTCTCCTGAAAGGAGCCGTGTGATCTGCCACCAACTTTAAGAGCTGTTCCTAAAATCTGTTTAAAGAAATGTGATAAAGAAATGATAAAAATAAAGGTTATACCATTTCAAATACATTCTCAGTGTAAGCTGTTTAGTTGGAATCCTGAATGCAAAACAAGAGTTACATAGGTAACATGTGCAGAGACACACAGGCAACACCCATAATCATACGTTTAAAGCACATGGCTTCCTCCAAAGAATTCTGGTCACAGTAGTTGACCCTCAAAGAAACTACAACTCCCTGTACCCTTAAAGAACTACAGTTCCCAGGATTCTTCTGAGAAAACCATGTATATTTAAATGGGTGGTGCAGATGTGACCATAGACAATAGGCACTGTCACACCCTAAAACCACATCTTTCCAGTTGCAAGAGTGATGTGTGGTTCCAGTTTTATTTTTTTATTATTGTTTTTAAAGTGCACCCCAGCCAGCAGAAGCTTGGGGAAGACACATATTCTGATCTTATTTTCTATCTTCCCCTTCCTTTATCTATATTGTCAACACTAAGACTGGGAACCTCAGGGCAGTAAACCCCGAGGCAGGTATTAAATTCCTGCAGGGACTTGCAATAGAAGCTCCTGAGCACAGTGGTATGCAGTGAAATTTTTCATAGGGGAACACTTAGGGCCAGAAGCGCCAGCTTGTGAGGGTTTTTTTGGGGGGGGCGATGTTGCACACATGTTCCTTCCCCCCTAAGCCGGGCAGAAGCTTATTGGGCTTTCGGAAGAAGGTGCCAGGGGAACAATCCACTGACCACACACCACTGCTTGAGCAAGACCAACCCCCCCTCCCCCCCCCAAAAGGGAAGCCTCAGTACCTGTTTTGCCGCCGAAGACTTTCATGGCCAGGCCAAACGAGCCGCGGTAAGATGTGCTGTCCCGCATGATGAAAGTGCCAGGAGGTTCATCAGCTAGCATCTGGACAGCTGTTTAACGGCACACAGTAGTTAAAGCATCGCCATAACCAAAGAAGGGTGTTATTTTATGAAGGCAGGCGGGATGGCAATATCGTGATTAATAATAATAATAATAATAATAATAATAATAATAATAATAGTGTGTATGGTGCTTTCTAGTGTTCAAAACATTTCATTGTGTAAATTCAAGGAACACATTTCTGCAGGCAAAAACACTTTGGATGCACATCAAGACCAGTGAGGGGCAGTGTGGGGGAGGGGCTGTGGAGATAGGGAGAGTTCTGGGGGCCAGATAGAGAAGCCTGGAGGGCCGCTTTGCACTGAAGTTCCCTGCCCTCGTAATCCTTGCAAGAAACCTGTGGTTGGACCTCCAGATGTTGTTGGACTCTGGAGGTGGTCTGGGATGGCCAGTGGTCTGGGATGATGTGAGTTGCAGTCTAGCAGCATCAGGAGGGCTATAGGTTCCCTATCTCTTGTATATGTGGACTTGCATGCGTTCTTTTCTCTTTGGTACTTTCAGAATAAGCGAAGGAGGATTCTCCAGCCTGCGCTTACCTCTGATTTGTAAAGCCAGGGCAGGGGTTTGCTGGACAGGGCTGGATTTAAATGAAGAGAGGCCCTAGGCTACTCCACCTGTGAGGCTCCTCCCCACCCTCACAACTGGGGAGCAGGCAGGCTGGCGAGGCCCCCTAGATTTAGAGGCCCAAGTTGCCCTGCCCTCACATCAAGTCTTGGGTTTGCAATTTTGGGAGAGGGGAGACTGCGGCACTGGGGAGAGGGCAGGCTGGTGAGGCCCCCTAGATTTAGAGGCCCTAGGTTTCAGCCTACTTAGCCTATACGTAAATCCGACTCTGGTGCTGGGGAAAGCAGTGCTCAGGAGAGCATCCTTAACCCTTCCCACCCCCACCCCGATTGCCCAGTCGAGTTAGGAAAAGTGACTGGCTGGAGGTTTGCAAAGGAGAAAGCAGTGGGCAGGGTAAGGGTTTAGAAACCCTCTTTCCTATTTGATGTTTCCTCCCCTTACAAATGCACCCTCTGGCCTCCTGCGATCTTCATTTTGCCCAGGATGACCCTGGGCCCTGCTATATCAGAGGAAGAAAATATGGCTGCAGCTTTGCTCAGTGTTTCTTAAATTCCCTGCTATTCCCTCACCTCCCCCATGAACGCCATGCCTTATTTTACCTTGGTCCCTTGTGATGCTAGGCTTGAACCAATACTTGGAGGTGTCCATCACGAACTTCATCGTTGTCTGGGTTTCTTTTGAATAGCCTGCAAGAGGGAAGAGGATACAGGAAAAGCTGGAGGCAATGTCCAAAAGAGACTGATCATTGTTCCTTTAAATTTTAGGCTAGGAAAACAGATGGCTTAAGTGGGGCCTGAAAGGGACTTATGAAATCATAAAGATCCAGGCAAAGGAGACACATTATTTGAAATGAACCATCCATTGAAATGGCTAGACAACAGATTTATGGCAATAAGAGGAAAGTTATCTCTTCACAGAACACAAATTAACCTGTTGAATTCCTTGTTACAGGATGTTAGCTATTGACTGAACTATACCTGAAAGTAGTTCCCTTAATGCCGGGTGAACGAAAGGTAAATTAAATTCATTTTGGGGTAGATCTTTTAAAGGTATCCAATTCATTTTTACATTCATTCTCTCCCTACCCTCTGCAGTAGGACTGAATACTTAGCTTTCATTTTTTTTATATATAAAGAAAGTTAGAAAGCAAAAAGTGGAGGCTATGCTCTAAGGCTTATTAGGCAGATACAGAGGTGCTGCTGTTGCTAAGATCTCCAAGTCACTTAATCACTGCTGTTAAGCAATCAGAAGGTAGGAATGTCCAGCATTTCTGGTATTGTCTGTGTTAAAGGGATTTTCCCTCTTCCAACAGGAGTAGCTTGCACCAAATAGTACAGGAAAAAAGCCTGTGATGCATTGTGCCTTTGACATGTGTGTGGTTGGTACAAATTAAACAGGGCAAGCCTTTTCTAGTATGGAAATAAAATTATGGGGAAAGCTTCACCAGCTGACATTCTATCTGTCAAGATATCTTTTTACTTGTGCGTGGCCCCCAATTTGCTTTTGGACCCCTTACTTGAGCACAGCAGCTTGTAATATTCTGAATGTTGGATTTTATTTTGCTGAAGACAAACTTTTTATAAACTAAAAAGTTCATTTGGATGAACTTGAACTGCTTAGTTAAAGGATGAACTCAAACCAGTTCCTTTTCGATGGGACAAACTTGAATTAGTTTTTTTTTTTAAAAAATTAACATTCCAAGCACTGATCCTTTCCATATGCCCCATTTGCAACAAAGTTGTTTTGAAATTTAAAATATATATAGGTTCGAATCACAGGGGTCAGATGACTTACTGTCCAGAGATGAAGAAGATGAGAGCGAGCTCTCTGAAGATGTTTTGTTGGAACTGCTGGCACCTGAAAATGAGCCAGAACTGGGTGGGGGCATCTTCTGTTTGAAAGAACCTGGGTGATTCCTGTAAAGTTTGGAGGACATCTCACTGTCTTCCAGACGGCCGTTGATAAGCACAATGGGCACAGGGGATGGGGAGCTTGTGATGGGTGAAGGAGAGCAGCTATGGGTCTGTCCCTTCTGGAACGGCTGAGGTAGGGGAGAATTCCCTTTCTGGGAGCAACTGACACCAGGATAGTAGGAACCTGAGCTCCAGGAACCAAGGGAAGAACCATTGAGGGATCCAACAGAGGAAGGACTTCCCGTTGACCTGGTCTGAGGAGTGTCGGGCTCATTGTTGGACAGTGACTGGGAGCTGCTGCAAAAGACGAAAGGAAACACAGGAGGAGGCATTAAGGAAGAGGCATAAAACTATTAGCACCATATCAAGGCCTGCAGGTCTTTCTGGCCTGAAGGGCACTGTCAAGTCACAAGCTGTGCCTTCAGAAAGGAAGGAAAGAATTGGGAGTGTGCTTAGAGCACACATTCCTTGGAAACTTAGTGACTTTATGCCATGGTAATTGACAGGTAGTGCAGCCCCACCCACCTGTCACAATGACCTGCGGGGAGGTGGTGAAGCTCAGGATCCAGTTTGTTCGACCAGATCCCATTTGCTACCCTGTCTTATACATGTCTTATACATAGCTGTCAACTTACAGATTTGAAAATAAGGGAAGAGCAGCCTCGAAAATAAGGGATCAGCAGCCAAAATAAGGGATTTTCCGGGCACAGGTATGTTCAACTTCTGAGCCCCTCCGAGCCAAAGGCAGAAAGCCCAGCCAGCAGCCAAACGAAGCCTCATGAATAAGGGACAGCAGCGGGACGTGGCGCTGGGATAAGGGACTGTTCCGCCAAATAAGGGACGCTTGACAGCTATGGTCTTATAGTATGTGGTGCCTCTTATCTTCCAAACTCAAAAATCGCAAGTAGGCAAGGGATCTGCAACAAAACGTTGCGGTGGGGAGTGCTCCAGTTCAGAATTTCAACCAGTCCCATTTTTCCCCAGGATACTCCATTCAATTCCTAGTCCTCTCCCATAATTATCAGTTAGCATAAGGGTGCCCAGATGATAGAGCTTCTGTACCTTTAATAGATGTGCATGACAAGCTCCCATCTACTGAAAGCCCCTCTTCTACACAACTGCTGTTATAAAGGTACAGAAACCCGAATGAGTTAACAAAGGATTCCCAAGCAACAACTTTACCTTCCAAGAATGTAGCTGGTGTCCGACCCAGGACTTGTCGACAGCAGAGATGCCTCGCTGCATCGCTGCACCAGCCTCCCATGCTGAGACAGCTTCCGTAAGTTCTCCAAGCCTGGGGAGGAAGGCAGGAGGGAGCTTGACCCGTAGCCCTTCTGGTCCTGCTGCGGGATGGAGATGCTTTCAGAGACTCGGATGCAAGCCGGCGACTGCCTCCCTGTGGGATACTGGGGGCCACCAGGATCGTGGCCAACCATGAAGGTCATGTGGCCACTGGAGTGGGTTCCTCCATGTGGGAACAAAGGGCAGTGGTTTGGGGGAGACGTGGAATGTGGGGCGCTGGACGGACTCGCTGAGTTCTGCAGAGACTCCTGGCACTTTGCTCTGGCAGGTGTCATTTCGATGTACTTTATGTCTGCCAGAAAGAAACATCAAAAACCTCAGAAGCAAAAAAGAGCAACAGACAAGATAAAATAGAGTACAGCAAAGCTTAGTCTCCAACCCTGGTTTTTTTAAAACAATATACCTGTTTTGCTACACTAAGAAGCAATATATATTTTCACATCTATATATATATTTGTGTTTTGTTCTGTACTTTTGTAAATTGCCCTGGAAGCACCGTGTGTGTGTGTGTGTGTGTGTGTGTGTGTGTGTGAGAGAGAGAGAGAGAGAGAGAGAGAGAGAACATTGTAAAAAGAGCTTCACAGTATTTTTTCACACTATTCCTGTATGGCAGGAGGCTGGACTAGATGGGGTCCCCTTGCAACTGAACAATTCTATGATTCAGTAATTCTTGCAGCAAAATCACCACCACCACTGCTCTGTAAAGTGGGAGAAAGCATCCTTCACGAATTTGTGAAATGCTAGAGGGTCGGGACAACTTTGGCTACTCTCACCCTTAAAGCAAATTCTGAGAGGCAGTTAGATAGATAGATAGATGATAGATAGATAGATAGATAGATAGATAGATAGATAGATAGATAGATAGATAGATAGATAGATAGATAGATAGATAGATAGATAGATAGATAGATATAGATAGATAGATACGGTAATTTATTACAGTCAAAGACCAGCTCACATAACACAATAAAAACAGCGTTCATAAAGATAAAATACACAATCAGAACAGATTGCAGCAATAACTCATGAGTTAAAATCGGCTTTCATCAGTTCATCCTGGCTGGCTCCAGGAAAAGGCACTCAATGAAAACCATTTTCACGAAGAGGAATCTGCAAATGTTAGAATTAACCGTGCTCCCATCTCCCCTTGGTTGCTTGCTGTGTGAGTCACTTCCTCAAGAGCTCAAAATTTGGCTGCCCCTCCCCAACCCAATTTGAAGGCAGCTTCTACTCTTTAAAAAATGGACTCTTTTTGTTTCTTTCCCCATTATTCTCTTTGATCTTTCATGAAGGATATTGTTTCTTTCCTAACAAGAGAGTAGGATGACTTGGGGGTAGAGGACAGAACTTCTGGTTTAAGGTACACCCACTACCTGAGAGGCAGTTAGATTTGCCTCGGGACAAGTCCTGGAGAAACGCCTCAGTTGCAGAAACGCCTCAACCCCTTTCAGCCAGCTCAACCCTACAGCATCAAACTGCAAGCAGCTGCACAGTGACACTCAAATGTTTGTAGTTGCTGATTCTTCAAAGCTGCATTCAAACCAGGCCTCTGTCCTTGAACCTGTTTTCAATGCCAGGACCTGGTGTTGGGATACACACAGTAAGAAAAGCAGCCAAGAGCAAGACTCCGGGCATGTGCAGAGTGTAGTGATGGGAAATGATGGGATTAAACAGTAAGTGCATTCACTATGTTGGGTTAGAGCTAAACATTCCACCTTCAGACCGTTCTTGCAGTTACTTTCGTTTTCCTATTCAGTTCTCTCTTTGCTCAATAAATAAGTCTAGGTTTTGAGGTCTGCAAAAAGACAGGGAACTAAACAAGAATGACTGGGGTATGGGGAAGTTCATCTGGCCTGTCAATAAGAAGCATTAGGCTGACAGGAACTAGGGACAGAGCCTTCTCAGTGATGGCCCCATATTAATGGAATTGCCTACAGCCATTTCACTGGTGACTTTAAAACAAATTTATCAGCTGGTTTAATTAATTGTTGAGTTTTACTGTCCATTTTAAGGAATGTAATGTGGCTTTTAATAGGCTTTAAATGTTTGCTGTGGAATTATTTTGTACCCTGCTTGTGAAGGCAACGGCCCTGAAATGCGTATATAAATCTTTTAAGCAGCAAACTGAGATCAAAGGTCACTCCTAGCTTAATTCCAGGTACTTTCCCTTTCCAGGTAGAAACGACCTCCAGGATCTGGAAGGCAAAAAGCCCTGCCAAAATATGTGTTATATAGAGTCATTCCAGTGATGATCATTGAGCCCATTACTTGTTGGCACCTGTATGGGAGGGTGTGGCTGATGCTTTAGTTTTTCTCATAGGTCCTGTCTGTACCTGACTCCAGATGAAAAAACATCTGGTGACTCCCCAAGAATACATCAGAGGCAAAACCACACCTCAGTGTTGGCAATGGCATTGAAATATTTTTTTTCTGATATTCTCCAGAGGTGGAGAAATCTGTGACCCTCCATATGCTGTTGGCCTTCAGCTCCCATCATTCTGACCATAAGCCATTGGAGTCCAATATGCCTGGAGGGCTACAGGTTCCCCAACCTTGTTATACACAACTACGTACATATACATAAAGGTTTCCTTAAAAATAAAATAAAATGGGGATCTTTACTATCACAGCATCAATGAGTTTGTGCAGGATTGGCATAATATTAGTGCCACTTTACTAACCCTGGAGGAATAACCTTGGGGGTGGGAACAAGTTTGCTTTTATTACCAAGTGTGTGACACATTTGTTCAGTTTGGACATAGAGGCACAAAAACTCCCATTGTTTTTCTTTGCCCAATTCTTCTGGGAAGGCTTCCCATTTCAATCTTTTCTCTCCACTGCAATTGATCTCTTTCTAGAGATTAGATTTCAATTTAACAACTGTAATCTGCACTGAAGATGTTAATTTTTTCAGTTGTTTTGGAAGTATACAGAAAGAGAAGGAATTGTGTTAAACAGGAGGCAAAGTTCTAACCACTTTGTATAACCACTTTTTGAGTGCTCTAAGTACTTCACATATAGCTGGTGTGTGGAACCTGTAGCCCTCCAGATGTTGCCGAACTCCAATCGGCCCCAGCCTGCAGAATCATATTATTTCATTCAAATTTGGTTAGTACAATTATCCTCACATGGGCAGAGGTAGGAGGAAGACAGAACCTGACAGAACAGAGCAGTGTTTCCCAAACTTGGGTCTCCAGCTGTTTTTGTACTACAATTCCCATCGTCCCTGACCACTGGTCCTGCTGGCTAGGGATGATGGGAGTTGTAGTACAAAAAAACAGCTGGAGACCCAAGTTTGGGAAACACTTAAACAGAGAGACAAATTACCTATTACTTACAAATCCCAACTCACAAAAAAGTTCACAAGCTGCTTTTTCTCCACTAGCAGGGAAGAGGTACCTGCGGGTTTCCATATGCTTGTTGGACTCAATTTCTAATGAGTTCCAGCTAGGATGGCCAATGATCAGGGATGATGGGAGTTGTAGTCTAACAACATGAGGAGGACCACAGGTTGCCCACTGTTGCCCAACAGGGTTCTGGGTGTGCAATTCCCACTCGTGAATCTCTCCTGATAGCCAACTGCATGCTTTTTGCAAGAGGGCAACATAGCAATTTATAACCTGTGCACGCCCTTTGTGAAATGATGCGATGTGTCTGTATTTTGTACTCTGAAAGTAGTGCCAAAGTACAAAACCTAGCAGGGTGGTGTGAGTCATGCTGCCTTGTTATGCAATGTATCTCTGCCTTTCCTTCAGGCTTAGCATGACACGGTCATCATCGATGGGGACCAGAAAGCTCTAATGGGCAATTAGCTGGTTCAAGCACCTAGTGGGAGCATGATAGCCACCTGCCAGAGTGGAGGTCACAGAATCATAGAAGTGTATTATTATCATCTGGCTGGATTTCCCAACTGTGGAGTTGGAAGGGATCCTGAGGGTCATCTAATCCAACCCCCCACAAAGCCAAAATAAAACTGATAAGTAAACCATATAACAACACATTTAAAAGCCTGCCAGAACAAAAATGTCTTAAACTCCCACCTAAAGGACAACAGAGAAGGAGCAGGTCTAATCTTCCTTGGTATAGAGTCTTACAATTAAGGTGCTACCACTGCAAAGGCCCTGTCTCACATCCCCGCCATAGACACCTGCCTTGATGGCAAAGTGCAGAGTAGGTGCTCCCTTTGAAGATGACTGCAGTTGATGAGTGCGTTCGTGCAGGAAGAGGGGGGGTCTTCAAATTCTCTGGTCCCAAACCATTTAGGCCGGGCTTTGTATGAAAAACTATGCAGTGCCCCGTGGCTTCCTGAATTTCCTGGGTGTTGCCAAGTGGGTTCTGGGACATCACCCAGGACATCATGGGTTACATTTCCATTTTAGATAAGAATATCTAATGTGTGTGCAAACCTTTCCAGTAACATAGAAAAAAGAAGTGTGTGGGATGGAAAGAAGCAATTTATTCCTAGTTTCCTGACATGCTTGGTTATTGCAGCTCAAAGATAAATCTGTGGGGGAGATGACAGTTAATCTCATGTTGCCCTTGGCAATCATCGCAGGGAACACCCTCTGAGACATCACCACTGAGTTTTTAAAAAATGACTAAGCAGACTTGTCTCAACAGGCTCCTCCCCACCCCCAGCCCATGTCATGGGCAAAACACACGATGCTGCATTTATTTGGCACATCTAATCCAATCAAGAAAAATCAATCAGGTGTGTTAGAGGGAACAATCATATGGAGTTTAGATTGGGGAGGCGGGAGAAACACCACAAATTAGAACAAGTCAATGGATGCATCATATGCCTAGTGGTCACAAACTGCCAGTGAGGTGGTCAATATTATCTGAACTGAACTTTGACAAAGGTCCCATCTGCACTGCACATTTAAAGCAGCCTCCTACCATTTTAAACAGGCATGGCCTGCCCCAAAGAATCCTAGGAAATGTAGTTTGTTAAGGCTGCTGAGCCAAAGGCTAATACAGTGTTACCTCATAGAGCTACAATTCCCAGAATTTTCCTTAAAAATAGCCCCAAAACCTCTCTTTTTTTGCAAATTTGCTCAACAACTTTGGCTAAAAACATTGGATTTTCACTGTTTGAAATATGGCAACCCTAGCGGGTGTGTGTGTGCGTGCGCGCACACACATGCATTTGTGGTGGAGCAATCAATGATGTCCCCCCATCTACAGTCCGAAGAAATACAATCCAGATCAAGCCTAGATTAAAGGTATGGAAGACCAAAGGCTAATACAGTGGTACCTCCAGTTGCGGACAGGATTCATTCCGGGGATCTGGTCGGATCCCGAGGTTTCCGCAACCTGAGGACCGCTTCTGCACATGCATGCGTGGCAAAACCCAGTCAAATACTTCCGGTATTGCCGCTTTCGCATCCTGAAGTTTACGTAACCAGAGGTACTACTGTAGAAGACTATCAGCTTTCCTATCCTTCTGCTATTCTCAGATACAGCAACCTATGAGGAAGGGAAGCCGAAGGGCAGGTGACTAGTCCAGGGAAGCTCAACTTCATTGGCTGAGCTGGGAAATTGAAAGCCAAAATAATTAGGAGGGCTTAAGGCTACTTATTAGCCTCGTGGTTGATCTGGCCCTGAGCTCAGTCACAGATTCGTCACTGCATCTGCTGTTTGTCAGAATGGTGAAACATTCACCACTACAGGTTTGCGGAAGTTGTTTTTGGGTGGGAGCTAAGTTTCCAGCGATTTGGGAGAGTGAGAGCTCCTCTGAAGGGCACCACGCAATAAACTCCCATTGGGGCAGGCAACAGGGAGAAAGGTCAACCCTCGGTGATTTGGCCCTCTCATCGGCTCAGCAGACGGAGCCCTGTAACTCAATGAATTCCACACCTTACCTGGGGATTCTGGCTCCTGTTTTGGGGCCACTGCTGTGCTGCTTTGTGGAACAGCTTGGTTAGGACTCTGGCTTTGGATTGGATTCAGCTGGAGAGGCTGGAAAGTGGGGTCAATTTCCAAGATCAGGCGGTTCAGTTTATCGATGGACACATCCAAAGTGGGAGATAATTCTGGGCAGCTGTCATTGCTGGTTTCTGCTGGCTCCTCTGGCAGACATTTATCCCCAAAATTTGGGGATTTCATAGGTGTGGCCTCTGCCGGCTTACAGGAGTCATAGAGTTCCATCTTGGGCAGTGGACCTCCTTTGCCTTGGGTCAATGAGATCTGTCTGTCCCAGCCTTCTACAGAATAATATAAATACTGCGATGGTGAAGTGTGGCAAGGCGAATAACCGTTAGGCTGCAAGCGAGCGTGGTCTTCTTGGGACGAAACACATATTGTCTGTCCGACCCTAAGCACATGGTTTGGCATCACTCTTGACATCCTTTGGGTGTGAAGTCTTCAAGGATTGTTTATCTTCTCTCTCTCTCTTTCTCTGAGCGGCTAAGATGTTGCAAACACCTGCAAACCTTTTCCTGGAGCCTGCCGCATCAAGGGAGAAAACCTGTGCAAACAGAATGTTAAAACAGAAGATAAATGGTTGTGAGCACTCTGGTAATGCACTTTAGTTTCAGAATGGCAGGTAATGGGGCAGAGAGGGAGAAAGGGAGCTTACTTATTTAATTGTAAGCAGAAGAATGACAGTCACCAACACATTTCTTCCAGGCAGTGCTGGTGGCGAAGAAAACAGGTTGGTTTTTTAAAGAGAATACATGGAGTCCTTGAGCAAAGTATAAACAATAGATGCAGAGCCCAAAGTTTTATTGACAAATATAGCTATAACATAGGGGTCAGCAAAACTTTTCAGCAGGGGGCGGGTCCACTGTCCCTCAGACCTTGTGGGGGGCTGGACTATATTGGGGGGGGGAATGAATGAATTCCTATGCCCTACAAATAACCCAGAGATGCATTTTAAATAAAAGGACACATTCTACTCATGTAAAAACACACAGATTCCCGGACTGTCCACGGGCCGGATTTAGAAGGCGATTGGGCCGGATCTGGCCCCCGGGCCTTAGTTTGCATACCCATGCTATAACATCTGTGATTCCTTGCAAGTGGACAGAGAATAGAGACCAGTTTTATTAACAGGCACAGAAAGGAAAGGGCAACTCTGGGAAGGGCTGAAGAGGGCTCAGCAGCAAAAATGGGCAATTGCACTGATACACAAAAACATAGCACAGATAGGAAAATAGAGATATAGATTAGCAGCCAGAAACCTCCGGGCCACAGGTTTAATTCTGTTGGGTATAAGCAACCTTGAATGGCTCCAGTCAGTAGAGGGCAGGGTTGAGAATATAATAGTCAGGTAAAAGTACACTTTTGTGGTTACCCACTAAAACCCTCCCCCACCGCAAATTCTGCCGCTTCTTCCATTATTATTATTACTATTATTATTATTACTAATGCTCCACCTTTTCCCCTGATGGGACTCAGGGCAACTTACAGATAAAAACAAGAATTGCTAAAAGTGGAAAGAACTAACGTTGAAAAAACAATTAAACATTAATAAAATTGAAACTATATACATATATGAAGAGGGATGCGGGTGGCGCTGTGGGTTAAACCACAGAGCCTAGGACTTGCCGATCAGAAGGTCAGCAGTTCAATTCCCCACAACGGGGTGAGTTCCCGTTGCTCGGTCCCTGCTCCTGCCAACCTAGCAGTTCGAAAGCATATCAAAGTGCAAGTAGATAAATAGGTACCACTCAGGCGGGAAGGTAAACGGCGTTTCTGTGCGCTGCTCTGGTTCGCCAGAAGCAGCTTAGTCATGCTGGCCATATGACCCGGAAGCTGTATGCCGGCTGCCTTGGCCAATAAAGCGAGATGAGCGCCGCAAACCCAGAGTCGGTCACGACTGGACTAATGGTCAGGGGTCCCATATATAAAATCTGCTTACAAATTGCAATAAAAGCAGCACGGCACCAGTTCTTTAATTAAAACAAGAAGGTATTCAACCTGGTGGCAGAAGGACAGTAAGGACCAGTCTAGCTTCTCTAGGGAGGGAATTCCAGAGACTGGGAGCAGCCACCAAGAAGGCCCTTTACTGCATCCCCACCAAACATGCCTGTGAGAGGGGCAGGACCAAGAGAAGGGCCTCCCCTGAAGATCTCAAAACCTGGGCAGGTTCAGGTGAGCAAATGCAATCTTTGGACTTAATATGTTTGCACTTAAATCACTTTGGGCTTTATAGGTAATAATCAGCACTTTGAATTGTGCCTGGAAACTGAAGGGTAGTCAGTGGAGCTGTTCTAGCAAGAGAGTTGTATACTGTACTCCCTATAACCAGCCTTGGTCAGCAAGCTGGCTACAGCTCTTTGAGCCAATTTATGTTCCTGAGCACTTTTCAAAGGCAGCCCCATGAAGACCACATTACAGTGGTACCTCGGGTTAAGAACTTAATTCGTTCTAGAGGTCCATTCTTAACCTGAAGCACCACTTTAGCTAATGGAGCCTCCCGCTGCTACCACGCCACTGCTGCGCGATTTCTGTTCTCATCCTGAAGCAAAGTTCTTAACCCGAGGTACTATTTCTGGGTTAGCGGAGTCTGTAACCTGAAGCATCTGTAACCTGAAGCGTCTGTAACCCGAGGTACCACTGTACAGTAATCCAAATGGGATGTAACTTGTAGCCAGTGTGGTGTAGTGGTTAAGAGTGGTAGACTCGTAATCTGGGGAACCGGGTTCGCGTCTCCGCTCCTCCACATGCAGCTGCTGGGTGACCTTGGGCTAGTCACACTTCTTTGAAGTCTCTCAGCCCCACTCACCTCACAGAGTGTTTGTTGTGGGGGAGGAAGGGAAAGGAGAATGTTAGCCGCTTTGAGACTCCTTAGGGTAGTGATAAAGCGGGATATCAAATCCAAACTCTTTTTCTTCATCAGCTAACACCGTGCTTTTCTGCAGATGGTCAGAACAACTGTGGAAAGGTTCACCGCTATGTATTTCTTTGTTTACCTAACTTTCCTTGTTGGACCTCAGGCGCACCCACAAAGTTAACTTTGTGCAAGCCTGCTTAAGATACTCCAAAGCTTTCACCACTACCGAAGCAAGCCCTTTCAGGAACAGACAAATGGGTGTCACGCTAAGTTTATAGCTTAGGCTCAAGGCAGGGAGAAGGTAAGGGCTGCAATTGCTGCCGTACGTCATGTCTAGCAACTGTTGACTTACTGCCCTGAAGGCTGATGAGAGAGGCAGATGAAAAAAGGCTTGACGAATAGCCAGGACGTTATGCTCTGGGAATTATATAACTGTTGGACGTGAACAAAAACGGCTCCTTTCTGTCCCCCTTTTCTCTGGAAAGGAAACTAGAGATCAATGCATTTCAGAGGACTTTCTCCCCCACATACCGTAATAGCTGTTTCTGCTTTGGGAGAAGGCTTAGTGCCATTTCACATAGATATGTAAGGATTTGCACAATCAGGGGTGGGGAAGAAAGGTTCTCATATTTTTTTGAACTTGTTCCTCTTTTAAACGTGATCCATCTCCTGCCCCTTCCATACCAACGATCTGTTTTACATGCACAGTTGGAAGCAACCCAAGAAGAAAGGAAACTGTGTTACATAGAGACTGACCATTGCTCCATCAAGTTCAATGTTGTATACACAGACTGGCAACAGCTGTGTAGGGCTCAGGCAGGAGACTTTCCCTGAGATGTTGGTGGACTGAACCTGAGCTACAGTCTCCCCCCCAAACCTGCTGCCTGCACAGAACTTCTTCTTCTTTTAAAATCTAATACTGGCTACAGAAGAAGACACCTTTGACTGTTCCTTTCATAGGTAAATTTCTACTTAATAGTCCAGGATGGACTATTGTCTCCTCAATAGTAGGAGCTAATGGTTTAGAAATTATTAGGGATCTCTTAGTGTTTTGGAATGCCCATCAGATGCTCGCAAAGACTGCACATCTTCAGATGAAGGTGAGGTGAGATCTCATTGAATGTTAAGCTTGGAAGGGAGCCTAGGGGTCATCTGCTTCACCGCTCTCCCATGCAAAAGAAACCAAGCTTGGGTACAGTCCCTCCTTGGAATTTCCAACTACAGTTGTACCTCGGAAGTCGAACAGAATCGGTTCGGGAAGTCCGTTTCACTTCCAAAGCGTGGCTTCTGATTGGCTGCAGGAAGCTGTGGAATCCCCGTCGGACGTTCGGCTTCCAAAAGAATGTTCAAAAACCGGAACAATTACTTCCGGTTTTTGATTGTTCGGGGGCCGGAATGTTTGACTCCCAAGGCGTTTAGGAGTCAAGGTACGATTATACTCCAAGATCTAAGGAGTGCTTCACAGAAGAAGAAGAAGAATTCACTGCCAAGGAGTGTGGTGGAGTCTCCTTCTTTGGAGGTCTTTAAGCAGAGGCTTGACAACCATATGTCAGGAGTGCTCTGATGGTGTTTCCTGCTTGGCAGGGGGTTGGACTCGATGGCCCTTGTGGTCTATTCCAACTCTATGCTTCTAAGAAGAAGAAGAAGAAAGAAGAAGAAGAAGAGGAGGAGGAGGAGGAGGAGTTTGGATTTGATATCCCGCTTTATCACTACCTGAAGGAGTCTCAAAGCGGCTAACATTCTCCTTTCCCTTCCTCCCCCACAACAAACACTCTGTGAGGTGAATGAGGTTGAGAGACTTCAGAGAAGTGTGACTGGGCAAAGTCACCCAGCAGCTGCATGTGGAGGAGCAGGAAAGCGAACCCGGTTCACCAGATTACGAGTCCACCGCTCTTAACCACTACACCACGCTGGCTCTCTTCTTCACAGCATCTTCTTCTTCTTCTTCTTCTTCTTCTTCTTCTTCTTCTTCTTCTTCACAGCATCACTACAACAGAGCACCAGTCTCCCCCCCAGCCTTTTTCTGAGAACAACACAGCAAATTAAAAATAAGGTTGGGATGATTTGGGGACTGAGTGAGAGCCAGGGTGATGTAGTGGGATAACCCAGGCTCAAACATGCCCCCACCATTAGACCATGAGACTCATTGAGTGCCCATTGAGCCTGTCACAATCTCTCAGCCTGGCCTACCTCTCAGGGTTGTTCTGGGGAGCTTCTTGGAGGAAAGTCTGGATATAAACATCACAAATGAATAAATAAAATTCAGACACCCTCACACATCCAATGTAGATGGGTTGCTGTTGTTGTTTTGGAAAACTTTGAACCACAACAATTTCCTATGCAAATCAGGCTAATTCGAATAGAGTAATCTATGTTGGAACTTTTTCCATTTGCATCAGATTTTTTTATTCTTCTTCTGATGCCTTCGAGAGCGATCTAATATAACCCATTTAATTTACTTGTAGCAAAACACTTGCCCAATATATTATTTGCGGTTGGCACTCGCTCATTGCTGTTAACGAACTTGTGAAATGGAAAACATTCCCACAGAGAAATGAAACACTGGAGAAGTTCCCACCCTACGTCACTGATGTGTGCATAATTAAAACAACAAGTGAGCACAGTGGAGGAAAAAACAGCGGGGCAAAACCTTCCTCCCAAGAGGTTTGCCCGGAGAGCCTCTTTAACTGCTTAAACAGTAAGGGAATCCTGGTATTATTTCTAGAGCTTTTGCACTGTTCAGAAGCTGAAAGGAGATGAGCGCTGCCTGTGGGCTCACAATCTGATAGCGACAGACAGTAAGGAGCAAAAAAACAAATGGAAAGGAGGAAAGCTGCAGGCCATAAGGTCTTTTCTTGGAAAATCAGTGAGAAGGAGATGAGTTTGCTGCAGGTGCTGCTTTAAATAAATAGGAGGAGATGGAGTAGTGCAAATGTTAAAAAGCTGGAAAGTGGGAAGAGCAAGAGAACAATAGAAATCTGAAGAGCTTTGTATAGTAAAACGAAGACGATGTTGCAAGATAGATGAGGAGGAGCTAAAGAAAATAGAAACATAGCCCTTTGCAGAAGATTTTTACATTTATACCCCACTTTTCCTCCAAGGGGCTCAAGGCAGCATGTCGCCATATTCATTCTCACAAGAACCCTGCAAGGCTGGGAGAGAGCGACTAACCCAAGCTCCCCTTGGAGAGCAATTGATTAGCAAAAGAAAGGTTCATGGGGTTCAAAAGCGTATCATAATGGTTTCAGGCAATTGACAAATGGGTGGGTCAAAGTGGGACACGGAGTATGTGCTGGGGATGTCAGAATCTGGCTCATGGTGGGCGGTTGGCGAAGTCAGACTCTGACCTGCTGGAGGAATCCAGTTCCCCATCCCTGGTCTACGCAATCTATTTGACAGAAAAACACACACCACTTTTTGCTAGCAGACCATGTCCTGAGATTCATGCTTAGGAATTAAATGTCTGGGAAGAGTTGAGCAACAATAAGAACAGGGGAGCCCAGGTTGCTTGAAACACAGAGCCTTCATGGGAGACATTTTGTAAATGCTCAGTATGCTTCATAGGCATATTTCCTGTTAACCTTACAACGGTCCTGCAGGTTATGCCAGTATTATTATCTTCATATTGCAGATAGGTAGCTGAGAGAACAGTGGCTTATCTGGAGTCCCCTAGTAAGTTCAGGGGTGGGGTGAGATTTGACCCAGAAATTTTCCAGCAAATACTCTTAGCCCCTATACTAGACAAGCTCTTTTTAACTACCAGGCGTTTAGTGATTTACTAGAGGTGTCATTGACCAGTTAATAAAATAAATGGGGGGAGGGCAGAGATGATATTTATTGTGAGTCGCCTCGGACATTTTCTTAATTTAAAGGCAGGCTATAAATGCCTGTCCCTTATTACTAGTCCTTTTCACACTACCAGTCCTTCAAACAGGACCAGCCAAGACATTTTGCTTCCTGAGGTAAAGCGACCCCACCCCCACTCCAAGTCAAGCTGTCCTTGGCTGTCCATGTTATTTTGGCACCTGAGGCTGAAAACACCACAAAAACTGCCCTCTCTGGCAGTAAACACATAATATGGATAAATTGAATTAACCGACCATTTGCTGCCCTTTCATGATGCCCCAAATCAACTGCCTGAGGCGGCTGACTCACCCTGTCTAATAGGAGGGTCAATTCCTGCCATGAGGCCTACAGACAATCACCCTGGGCATTTCTAAAGCCACACAGTTTTGTGCTTTGTGTCTCCAAGTCTGTGAGGCATATTAACATTAGGCTGTGTGACTGGTAACATGGCTTCTTGTTACTACAGTCAAAACAAACAAGCCTCAGTATGGCAACGGTATCCTGCCATCTCCCCGGCACACCCTCTTAATCCAGGAGCGCCACAAAGGAACCCAATGATGATTAAGGAGCGTGTAATCTGTAATCCGGCCTTCCTTCCCACGTTATTTCTAGGATAAGGAAATGGGCTTGTTTGCTTTTGCAGCTCAAATTTCAAACGGGAAGAACAAAAAAGAGTGACTAAATAGTTAGCTTTGAATAAATGTTGGCCCCCATTGTTAAACAGGGATGAAGTTATTAATGTTGGTTTCTCTCAGTTTCTATTTATACAATCTTCAATTCACTTCTTTCCATTTTCACACACATATTTTCTAGATTTGTTTGTTTGTTTTAAAGTCTTAAGTTGAAAATTTGTACACATTTCTCCTCGTCTACGCATTTTTTTCGAGGGGGAAGAACATTTTTTTCTTGTAACAGCATGGATTTCAGCATGTTATTTCCACTAATCAATCAATCAATCAATCAATCAATCACTTATTCTTCTGTTTGCAGCCTTTCCAAAGTTCAAACCATGTGCAAGGCGGTTTACAATGTATAAAAAATTAAATAGCTATGAACATAACAAAACTAGTCATTAACAATAATTAAAAAAATCAAAAAGTACACAACCAAACTGAAAAATTCCACATAAATCACAAGATCCAAAATATAGATATAAAAAATTAACACCAACAAGATCAACAACACCCACCTGCAAAAAACCCCCTAAACATGAATTTTTGTACACGTTCTTGTGGTTGGAGAACTGCATTGCAAAATTCAGACCAAGTTGGAAGGAGAACCGTGCTTTGGTTCGCATATTGTTTTGAAAGCACACATTTGCAAACAAATCCCACCCCGCTTTCCTAACCGTAGGTCAGTGTTTGATGCAGCAATACTGCTCTCAGTAGCTTCCAGGGCTTGGATCAAATCTAGTGTATCATATCCAAAGAACCCATGTTTATTTTTACTCTGGTCCTGTCAGCAGCTCTTTAATTCCATTTCCCCTATCTAGGCCATGATTTCCACAACCCTCCAGCCTTCTCTTTTTTGCATTTAGCAACTCTTTAGTTTACCCATCACAGAGCTACAGTTCCCAGCACCCTTAACAAACTACAGTTCCTAGGATTTGTGGGGGAAAGCTTTAAAGGCCTGGTGTTTGGATTAAAGTGGATTACAGCACTTTAGCACTCTTATGTAACTAAGGGCCCATACATAGTGTAAAATTTAAAGCATATATTTTTCCTCACAAAATTCTGGGTACTGTAGTTTGCCCCTCACAGAGTTAAGAGTTGCTGGGAGTTGTTGCTCTGTGACAGGTAAACTGCAGTGCCCAGAATTCATTCAGCGAAAACGTGCTTCAAATGTACTGGAAAGGTATAGTGCTTACTTAGCCAAACTCACTTCAAACAGAAAACAACTGCAGGCGTTTCATTGTTAGGAAAATGGCGGGAAAATGCAATGAAAAGTGTGGGCGGAACAAATAATTTGCGGGAAAACATATAAACACCGCACAGACAAATCAGGATGAACACTTAATCTCCCTGCAAACAAATCAAAAGGAATGCTCAAAAAAGACTAGGCACAGTCTACCCTCCACATAAGCTTTGTGCAAGTAAATCTGGGCAAGTGTTCAATAAACATCATCTGGAGGAACCCTGAGAAAAGACAGGATGACATTGACAGGACGATGGTGTCATGTGGATGCCCCATAAAAAGTGAGCCAACGAAGCATGCCAATTCCATACTAAATCCCTGATATTGAAGCACCCCAGGTTTTGGAAGTGCATAGCCAGTGTCAGGGCTCACCCTGTCCAGCAGTAAGCAGGATCCCCCACAATTTCCCCTGACAAGCTAAAACCCACTTAACTCTTCCTCTGCACATCAACCCGTATTATCCAGTTTGCTCCATGAATAAAAGCCAGGTGCAACCAGGCTGTCCTCCCCTCCCTGTGCTAACAGCACTGGCAAAGGTTTCGTAGAAGAGAAAAGTGAGGTCAAGAGTCAAAACAAGCAACTTCAGTTCTTTCGCGTACATTTTGCATGCTACATGCATAATGAAGAACGTGACTGCTCTAGAACCGAAAGGATTCTGCAGGGTTTGGGGGTTTCTTTATCACCGTGTTCTAGATCTCTGCACTCAAATCAGTCACAAGAAAAAAATGGATGCAGGGATCCTGCATTTTGCATTCCAATCCATCAGACATGACATATCATAGTGGGACAGATATTATGCAACTTAATACGGGACGCTGGAAAAAAGTTGCAACCGTAAGTGAAGAACAGAGGGAAAACAAAAAAGAGAAAGGGAGAGGGAGAGAAAGAAGAAAGAAAGAAAGAAAGAAAGAAAGAAAGAAAGAAAGAGAAAGAATAATTCCATTACCTAAGCTGCAGCAGCTGTTTTCTGTGATATACTCACTCCGAAGTGTGGCAAAGGGAAAGTGTGAGAAGATATGAGTGCCTTGAGGGTGCTGTTGCTTTAATGGTCGTCCCGTCCCGCCTATGCCAGGTGAGCTCATGGCAGCCACACCTGGATTGCTAAGGCGTGTCTCTTCGAGTCATGTCCAGGAGTAATGAAAAAAAGCCCAAGAAGTTGAGTGTGGAAGCTGGCAGCCGGCCAGGCATGCTCCCTCCACCGCAACTCGTTGCTTCACTTAGCAGGAAGACAAATGGCTGCATAATGTTAAGGGGAAATGAACAAACAGAGAAATAAAGAAGTGAATCTGGGCATTTGACAAAAGGAGGTGGGGGGATTTTATCCCGATTTCTGGTAAACGAGGCCTGGAGGGAGAACAATACCCTCTGGTGCCCTCTGGCTGGCATCCAGGCTCCCTCACAGTCTGGAATACCAGACGGAGAGTGTTCCTGAGAATGTGCAGAGCGCCCTTCACTCATCGACAAGAACTCGTGTGGTGAAAAGCGTGGGCAGAGCGTTGCCCCTGGCACAGTTTTCCCCAGGGCACATTCTGCTCTTTGCACTACCCCTGCCAGCCCTGCGCTGCTTTGCGAATCAGATCCCACATCCCAGCCTCATGAATCCCAGCTTTGCGAATCGGATCCCACATCCCTGCGCTGCTTTGCGAATCGGATCCCACATCCCAGCCTCATGAAGCAGCATGGGGCTGGCAGGGCGTCAGGAGGACACAACAGGCATGTGACTTCCATTTAGAGCGACTGAGTGAATTGGAAGGGCATGTGCCTGTCCTGCTGTGTCCTCCTCATGTCGCCCTCCACTCTCTGCCCCCGCATGCCCACCTCTGGCCCTGGGAACCTACCCTCCAACATTTCTCCAATGAAAATAGGGACCTCCTAAGGAAAAGTGGGACATTCTGCAATCAAATCAGAAACCGGGACGGCTTCTCTAAATCCGTGACGTCCCTGGAAAACAGGGATCGAGGTCCCAGTTTAAGAAGAATGGAAACTTAAACTGATGGAATATGCACAGCTTGCAGATCTAACATATAGAATAAGAGAACAAGAAGAACATACGTTTAAAGAAGATTGAAAATGTTTCTTGACTCAATTGCGTACACTTGAAAACCTTGGCAGCATTAAGATAATTCAACAGCGTAAATAAGTTTTGATGGATGTAACAATGGAATACTGAATGGTTTAGTTTATGTAAAATATGCAGGGATTTATGTTATGCAAAATGAACCATGGAAAGAGAAGGGAAGTCATTGATATTTTAAGGATGTTTAAATGAATATTCTAAATTGTAAAACAGAAAATTTAATAAAAATTTAATATAAAAAAAGAAAATAGGGGTACTTAGAGCGTCTGTGGGAAAACACTCTCTGCCACTGCTGCCAGCCAGGTAAGCCTGCTGGGGCTCCCACTTGTATATCACCAAATTCAACATAGCCCTTTAACTTGACACTGTTCTGGCAATGATGGTGGATGTGGATGCGCTTAATTCTGAGCTGATGTAGCTGGGTCTGGGACTCAGCACAGGCTGAGCATCTATTTCCTGCAGCCACCAATCGGATGACTTGATTCTTGCAGTGGGCCTTATGCTGCTTAGCAAAGTAGCACGATGTGTGCAAGAAGTCCAGCCTCTGCCCAGTATACATATGTTGGGTGCTTTTCATAGAACTGTAGAGATGGAAGGGACTCCAAGGGTCATCTAGTCCGACCCCCTGCAATGCAGGAACATTTTGCCCAGCGTGAGGCTCAAACCCACAACCCTGAGATTCAGAGTCTCATGCTCTGCCGACTGAGCTAACCCATCCTGGGGAAAGCTCCTATTTATAGCCTTCCCTTCCCTCTTGCCTCCTTCTGCTCTGCCCTCTGCCCCTATCTCTGTGCTCTGAGTTCTGCAGAACTCCAAGGTGTGATATCCAAGATAAGGGCCTGATCACTGTAATGAAACAAGCCAGCAACCCACAGATAGGAAACCTTTTATGGCAGGGCTTTTACGAGGCTGCTTTTCATACTAGCTGTTCAAACAGGAGACAAGGAAACAGGCACAAGTAATATGCTCCGCTGGGCCAGTGAACACATAAAGAAGCACGCTTTTAAAATTATTGAAAACTCTCTGGATAAGCAAGAGGTCTGTTAGCCAGCGGCGGAGCAAACCGATCAGGCGCCTGGGGCGGCGCGTGTGCCCTGCACCCAGGGGTGGGGCCAACTGCCCGTGGGGCAGGGCAAGCTGGGACGGGGCCTCCGAGGAGTCTGCCTGCCTCCTCCCACTCAGCCTCCCTACAACTGAGGGGGAGATGGCGGGCAGAACAATTGGGGCAGCGCGGAGCCTGCGGTCGCCCAAGCCACCACGTCACTCCCAGGAGAGACGCGTGGCTCAGGCGCGCTGCAGGCCGCACAGTGAGTGCCGCCCGGCATTTTGTCACCCCCTCACTGGTGACACCCAGGGCGGATAAGAACAGAAATTGGGCTTCGGCGGCACGGCGGCAGCAGGAGGCCCCATTATCTAAAGTGGTTCTTCAGGTTAAGTACAGTTTCAGGTTAAGTGCGGACCTCCGGAATGAATTAAGTACTTAACCCAAGGTACCACTGTATCTAGGCAACACGATGACCATGTACATACACAATAGAATTCCTTCAAATTTATAGAATTCCTTCAAAACCATATGGGAGGATATATGCATGGGAGGATATATGCAGTGACTATATTATTACATGAGCACTGTTTCACAGCATTTGATATTTTCATTTACGTACATTCATTCAAAATAAGATGGGTTTATGAAGCAATTCTATATCCTCCCACCACGCTGACGAATAATTCTACGAAACAGTAGTCAATATCCGGAATCACTGTTCAGTGTTGGACATCATATTTGCCGAATACACAAAGCTTCGCAGCTTGTCTTTCATCGTACAAAGTCTGGTACCTTGCTTCATTTAAGGATTTTCAGAGACTTTGGGACTAAAGATTTAATTTTGTATTTGTTATGGTTTTGAAGGAATTCTATAAAGACTGTCTATTGCGTATGTACATGGTCATCGTGTTGCCTAGATATTTCTGATGTTCTCTCTGCAACACAGGGGTTTGTTTGCCTACCTACTTTCTCCAGAACAAGCAGCATATTTCCCTGTTCTGCACTACAACATCCAGTAAGAAGTGTCTGGGGCTACTGGCCTTAGCATTGATCTTCCACCGTAAGCTACAAGCAGAATTGCAATAGGCTCCTCATTGTCCAGAGTATTGCACGGTTCCTGTGCATGCGAACCTCTCTACGTTCCATTCACACTAGTGAACTGAGCATGACATAGCTGCTGAGAGTAGGTCACATGGTCACTTGAAGCTCAGCACATATATGCGCTAGGACCTTTGTACTTGCACGGCATTTTATCACACCATGAAAACCAGGCCTTTGGCCGACTGACATTCAATGCCCTTTTAAATGTGTTGTGAAAGGCGTGTGTGCTATTGGTTTGTTTCTGTTCTTACTTATTTTATGTATTTTGTGTCTTTTTTATATTCTAATTTTATATTGTGAACTGCCCTTATATTTTTGGGTAAAGGGAGGTATACAAATTTAATTAATGATAGTAATAAATAATAATAAAGGCAAATATTTATTTTAAACAGTACTAAAATACATTTCTCACTATAATGTTTAACCCATTAGTGGGTACCACACAGATAAAAGAGGGTTATATCATAACACTATAATGCTATTTTAAATTTTTCTTTCTTTTTTTTAAAGCGTCAACATCCTGATAATTGATTCCATTGTTAAGCTACACATTGGATGCTTGCAGACCATCACCATTTTCAGTTGGGATGCAATCACATGCCAGCCAGTTCAGGTTACACAATTAAACCCCACTTCCCCAAAAGATCAATTTTTTTGTGGTTAAAAAAAGTGAGGGGGAAATGCCCTGAAAAGCAGGGAACGGCATGTGCTTTTACACGTCGTCCTCTAGCCTTCCCACAAATAACTCAGAAAGAAGATTGATTTAAACAGCCAACGTTCCGATTAAAACAAATCAGGATAATTGTTCAAGAATCAGGTTCCCTGGAAGCGCCCTCACCAATAATAATAATAATAATAATAATAATTTATTATTTACACCCCGCCCATCTGGCTGGGTTTCCCCAGCCACTCTGGGCAGCTTCCAACAAAAGATTAAAAATACATTAAAACATCAGTCATTAAAAACTTCCCTAAACAGGGATGCCTTCAGTTGTCTTCTAAATGTCAGACAGTTGTTTATTTCTTTGACATCTGATGGGAAGGCATTCCACAGGGCGGGTGCCACTACCGAGAAGGCCCTCTGCCTGGTTCCCTGTAGCTTTGCTTCTCGCAGTGAGGGAACTGCCAGAAGGCCCTCGGAACTGGACCTCAGTGCCTGGACTGAATTATGGGGGTGGAGACGCTCTGGGGACTGTCCCCGGGAAACGGGGACATCTGGTAACCTAACTTCAGGGCTTTTAAATGTTAGGGCCTTAAAATGCTTCCCCTATTGTACAACTGAAATCTATCTTCTACAACTTGAACCCAGTTACCTGGGGCAGCAGAGAAGGTGCACACGCCATATAGCTTTAGAGCACATTCAAAACACATCCTTTCCCTCAAAGCATTCTGGGTACTGTAGCTTACGTCTCACAGAGTTACAATTCCCAGCAGCCCCTTAATAAATTACAGTGTCCAAAATTATTTGAGAGGGGAAACAGGCTTTGAATGTGCTTTAAAAGTATAATGCGTAACAGAGCCTAATCATCTTTGTGACTGTTATGTACTGAAGTTCTCACCCTGGGCCAGCAGGGGGATACTGTAGATAGTTTTCACTCAGGTCTGCATATGCAAATAAGGAATTGAAACTGACGTTCAGTGATTGGATAGTTACAGAAAGTTGTTACTGTTGCTTTGTCATTGAGCTCTATATGAGCAGGTTGGCTGAACCCTTCAGTTCAGTTCTGTTCTGGCCTGTGAATAAACAAGAGCTGTCTGAAGAATTGCTGTGTTGTCTGATATGTTCACCCACAACTTAACAGTGACAGCCCTTTGGAGTTTTGAAGAGTTCCATCTAGTCGCCTGTCAGTCTTCTCTTCTCCAGCATAAACATATCCAGTTCCTTCAACCTTTCCCCGTAGGCCACGTTTTTCATACCAACTTGACCATTTTTCTTACCCACCTCTCTGAACGTGTTCCAATTTGTCTGCCACTTTTACAAGCTACTGTAGACGGGAGAGGAAGACACCCAACAGCCATACCTTGAGATACAAGGGATTGAATTTGGAATATTCTGTGTGAGAAGCATAGGTTCTACTGCCAAGGCACAGAGAAGGTTGTGCTTGGTCGAGGTAGAGGATGGTACTTGGTGGTCAGGAGGAGAACCTGATTGGGCTTTCTATTTCAAGGAGAAAACCCTCAAGGAAAGTAGAACATAGCCTGTTCCTTGCCAGGCCTCGCCCTACCCTTAGGCAAAATGAGGCGACTGCTTCAGGCAGCAGATAGTGTAGGGTGGAGAACAGCAGCAAGGTGTTGGGAGACAGAGTTGCATACACCGTAGGGCCTGCCCTCTAAGCTAGTCTGCTGC